CCCAGAGGCCCAGCCCCCACACAACGGCACCCCCAGGCTCAGCCACCACCAGTGTACAAATGAGCCCAGCCCCTCAAAATGTTCCCAAGGGCTCTGCCCCCAGAAAGGGGTGCCAATGGGCCCAGCCGTAATGCAGATGCACACTAGTGTCCAGCCCCCTACCAATGGCACCCACAGGCCCGCCCCCACCAAAGTACACCCACGGACCCATTCCACACCTAACTGCCCCAATGGGCCCAAGCCCCACCACCTGCCCCCATGGGCCCAGCTCCCACCAAGCTCACCCATGGAACAAGCCCCCACCAAAGTGCACCCACAGAACCAGCACCCCCCCAACTGCACCCTTAGGCCCCACCCTTGCCCAACTGCACACATGGGACCAGCCCCCACCAAAGTGCATCCTCAGGCACAGGCCACACCCAACTGTACCCACAGCCCAGACCCGACTATCTGCACCCACAGTTACAGCCCTCTCAGGCCTAGCCCCCCCACAACAGCACCAATGGGCCTAGCCCTCACCAAAGAAACCCAACAGGCTCAGCGCCCCCCCAAGTATCCCCATGGGCCCAGCCCTCTCCAAAGTACATCCACAGACCCAGCAGCCACCAAAGTGCACCCACGGGGCCAGCCCTCAGGAACTGCACCCACATTCCCAGCCCCCACCCAACGGTGCCCACAGGCCCAGACCCCCCAAATTATGCCCATGGGCCCAGACACCCCCTAACCATGCCCATGTGTTCAGCCCCCACTCAGCTGCACCCATGGGCCCAACCCACCACAACTGTACCCACTGGCCCAATCCACCCAACTGAACCCATGGGCCCAGCCCCCACCAAAAGGCACCCATAGTCACAGAACCCCTTCAAGTGCACTCACAGGCACAGCCCCCAGGCCTAGCCCCCTCCAACAGCACTAAAGGGCCTTGCCCCCACCAAAGTAACCCCACAATTCCAGCCCCCCCAAAGTATCCCCACAGGCCCAGCCCTCCCCAAAGTACACCCAAGGGCCCAGCTGCCACCCAAATGTACCCTTGGACCCAGCCCTGACCCAGCTGCACCCACGGGCCCAGCCCCCACCAACTGCACCCATGGCTCTTGCCCACCACCAACTGCAACCATGGGCCCAGCATCCACCCAACTGAAATGGTAATTAATGAAAAATATAAAAATCATAAGGAAATCCTATTGCATGTACACTGATAGGCAAAAATTAATGAGGCAATTCCAATGCTGTCAATCTTGTGGAATAAATTATCATGTGCAGAGATGGTGGGTCTGTTCACACGCTCACTGGCATTTCCTCTACATTTGAAATTACACATAATCTACAACCCAGTATTTTCTCTCCAATGGGTTGAGAATTTGTTGTATGTGGGCATTTGGAAACAAACATGAATTATAGGAGCAGCATTTTCACAAGAGCAAAAAATAAACTTGAAACAGCCCAAACATTATAAGCACTGGAATGGACGGGTAAGTTGGATGACCTACAGTCTCAAACACCAGCATGTGTGAAACAGACTGAGGCAGAGAAACCAGTGATGACCATGTTCAGGGTAATTCTACTAATATCCATTCATGGAAAGGTTAAAATAAGCAAAGTTAAACAAAACACTTCTTAATGATACATAATAGATGGTAAAGACAAAAAGAATAACTAAAATTTCTGATAGTGGTCACATCTGGGGATAGGAGGGAAATGAGGTCAGGATGAACACACTGGGAGCCTAATATTTGCACAGTCTATTTATTAGTGGGGGTCCAGTCTGCAGAGTTTATATGACATTAATGTTTAAACTTAAAACATTTGATGTAATCTTTTCTAAGTAGGATATACCTCAATAAAAAATTTTAAAGAACTATTTACATGTGAAATAATGTACAGTTTAAAAATATTTTACCATATTATCTGACCAACTCCCCAGTTTTGCTATCAGTCTTAGTTTGGAAGGAGTTCTCAAGCCTTTTATACCAAGTCCATTTAAATTTCTCTCTATATTTATTTGCACAGGTTTGGGTAGCAACCAGGCAGTGTCTGTTTACAGATAACCGGTTCCATAAACATATATTAACTTTTATAAAAATTAAGGAAGTCACCTATTCATAATTAAAAGAGCTTCAGGACTGATGTCTAATTGAACAAAAAAGCAAGGCATGTATCATTGTGCAAACCAGAGGGCATAACAGAGTTGTGGAAACAATAATTACATGAATTGGAATTTCAGAGAGGGAGAATTCTAGGGCAGGGTTTTTGCTAATTCTCAGCAGGGACTGATGATCACCCTTGGCCCATGTGGGGGCAGAGAAACCAGGGAAGTATTGGTTGGTCACTCAGGGCTGGTGCTGGCATGAGAGACAACACTACTTGAGAAGCACCGACATGGTAGGTGTTTTCCACAGGACATTCTCTGTGTTCTGGGGATGAACATGGAGGATTGAGGAGCCAGGCCAAGTGTTCCTAAAAGTCAGATAAAACCTGCCTGAATCAAAGTGCTTGGGAGGTAATGTTTCCCCAGAGGGACAGGGCTGCTGATTGGTCCCTCAAGATTTTGGCCACATTTGAAAGCTACAGGGCATGGGTGTAAAGCAGCAAGCTGAAACCTCCAAAGGTCACAAGTGGATTTGCCACAGTCTTTCATGATTGACCAGTGACCTACTAGAATTTCCATCCAAATCCCTGAAGGGCCTGCCTGAGGAAGACAGTAGAAGCAGAGATGGGTGAGCCTCCTTACAACTGCATGTGTGTCATTGGACTCAGAGGGGGACAGAGAGGGGAGAGAGAAGGGGGCAGAAGCCGTCCCTGAAGGTGTAATGGCTGAGGATTTTCCAAAATTGAGTATAATATGTCAATCCACAGATTAAAGAACCCCAAGCAGATCAGCAAACCCAACTGGGAATAAAAAGAAGAGAAAATCATACTAAATTCCATCATAGTTAAATTACTAAAACAAAGCAGATAAAGTCAGTTATCTTTTCTAAAGCAAATTGACACCCTTACATATCATTATTAAACAATAAATATCAAAATATTCTAAAACTACTTGTTCATCATAAGAACATAAGAAAATAATAACAAACCTAAGATTCATAGGAGAATGGATATACTAAACACAAAAAAAAATGATATCAAATTATCAGGAGAGGAGGAAATGACAGAATTGACAAACTAATAAATCTGAAAGCTGTTTATTTTAATAATAAAAACCAAACAAAAACCATGTATTCACTTTCATTGTTTATTTTAATGAAATAAATTTGACTCAAATAAAAATACACAAATGTGGGAGAGGAAATAAACATAAATGTAGATTCTTAAGAAACTACAAAAATAGGGATAACTATTAATATAGACATTTCATAAGTAAGTTTGATACTTTAATGAAAAAGAAATTTCTGGCCAAGAATAAATGATAAAACATTGCTAACGGCCCCCCACTGGCCTGACCTGCCACTAAGGTGCTCCCTTAAATGGCCTGCCCCAGGGCCGCCTTGGCCTGCCCTTCCACCAGAAGTGCCCTTGGCCTTTCCTGGCCTACCACTATGGGCTGCCCTGGCCAGGTCTGGTCACATGGATCCCCTTTTTACTGGTCTGCCCCTAGTGGACCACTGCCATAAGGGCCACCCTGCCACTAAGGGCACCCCAAGTGCCCTAAGTACCCCCTTGACTGGCCTGTCCAGGAGCCCCTTGGCCTGTATTGGTGCTAAGGGCCAACCTGGCTTGATCTTATCTGCCACTAATGGCATCCCTAGCCTGGAAGGCCTGCCCTAAGTGCTTCCTTGGCCTGCCCTGACACTAAAGGCCCCCCTGGCCTGGATGTAGGGCCCCCTGACCTAGCAAGCCCAAGGGACCAATTGTACTAGTATTCCCCTATAGGCCCCAGAGGCTGGACTCCTGGTAAAGACACCCTGCTGCTTTTCTTTTTTTGTTGTTTTTTTTTTTTTTTGGTTTTTCTTTTTTTACGTCTTGTGGTTTGTTTTTTCTCTCTGCTTTTTACTATTTTTCTTTGTTGTAATTTTTCTGGTTTTTTTTTTTTTTTTTTTTTTTGGTTTTTTTTTTTTTTTTTTTTTTTGGATTTTTTGTTTGTTTTTTATATTTTTCTGTTCCTTTTTTGTTTTCCCCTTTTTTATTTATTTATTTATTTATTTTCTTTATTTGGGTTTTCTTTTTGTCGGGATTTTCTTCTTTTGGTGTGTTTTCTTTTTGTTGGGGTTTTCTTTTCCGGGGGTTTTCTTCTTTGGGGGCTTTTTTGGGGTTTATCTTGTTTTCATGGGGGGATCTTTTTCTTTTTTAGGGGGTTCTTCTTTTCATGGGGGGATTTCCTTCTGTTGGAGTTATTTCATTGAGATTTTGTCCTATTTGGGGTATTTTTTCTTCTTTTATGGGGGTTTTCTTTGTGTTAGAGTTTTTCTTTGGGCGGGTTTCTTCTTTTTGTTGGGGTTTTTTGTTTTCTTCTTTTGGGGCTTTTTTGGGGTTTTCTTGTTTTCATGGGGGATCTTTTTCTTTTGGGGGGGTTCTTTTCATGGGGTTTTTTTCTGATGGAGCTTTCTTTTCAATGGGATTTTGTTCTATTTGGATTTTTTTTTCTTCTTTTTGATGGGTTTTCTTATTGGGGGGATTTTTCTTCCTTCTCTTGAGTTTCTTCTTCTTTGGGTTGTCTTCTTTGGGGTTTTTTGGGGGGGTTCTTCTTCATGTTGTGGTTTTCTTTTTGTTGGGGTTTTTCTATTTTAGGTGTTTTCTTCTTCAGGGTGTTTTCTACTTCTTTGGGTGTTTTCTTCATTTTATGGGTGTTTTCTTCATTTTGTGGGTATGTTCTTTCTCTTTGGGGTGATTTATTCTTCTTGTGGGTGGCTTCCTATTTTGTGTGTTTTCTTCTGCTTGGGGCTTTCTTCCCTTTTTGGTTTATTTCTTCTTCTTCCTTTGGGTGTTCTCTCCTTCATTTTGGTGTTTTCCTCTACGTTTTAGTGTTTTCCTCTCTCTTTTTTTTTTTTTTTTTTTCTGGTCCAACTTCTCAGCCAGCTCCATCTTCACATGGTGCCTCAACTGCAGTGCACTGGTGACCTCCATGTTCTAATTGGTCTGGATGGAGAGAAGCAATTGGTAGCCACCTGATGCAGCTGGAGACTCAGGGCACAGGGAAGGGGGCACAGGGCACTGGCTTATAGGATGCCTTCCTAGGTACCATTTCATGTGAGATCTCCACCACCCCATTTTACAGATGGGGGGAAAATGCCCAGGGGTTGAGGGTGGAAGGCAGGCTGGCAGGGCAGGTGACACACCAGCCTGATGATGCCAGTCTACAGCTTAGCCAGATGCTCCTAGAGCTCACAGGCCTGGGACAGCACACAGCTGGTGGTGGTGTGGTGGTGCTGCATGCCCTCCAGCACCTGCCTGTGCTGCTTGCCTCAGAGCCCAGCAGCCTGCCCCAGATCCAGAAGCCACTTCTCCTTCTCCTGCTTCAGGTGGCTCAGACCCTCATTATCCTTTACCTGAGCCTGGAGCTGACATGCCAGGCTCTCCAGCTGTTTCTACAGCTGCTCAGCCTCCACCTGCAGCCACCATTCTTCCTCACTGGGCCCTGCTGGAGACTCCAGGGATGGAGGGTCAGCTGAGAAAGGAATTGGATGATAAGGGTCTCTGGCCTCTGGAATTGCATGAAACCCTCTTCTTGACCCACAGCTCCTAATTCAGACTCCTCTTCCCAGACCATGGCTTCCTGGCTAATCATTCCTCATGCCCAGATGACAGTCAATCATACAAACTACTTTCAAATAGAGTTCTTCACATTCATGTGCTCAAGACAACTGTGGGTGGCTGACAATGAGCATTCCACCTCTCTTTGCAGACAGGGACACTGAGTCTCAGATGAGCATACTCGCTGTCTGCTGGCACACACCTCTTTCTCTTCCCCCAACGTGCTCCCAGGCCACCACAGCCCCAGCTTACCTGTCCACCTGCTTATATCGGCCAAGTAGGTCTCTGGCTCCTGGACCTGACTCAGGCCATGTTCCTCCTTCAAAGCATGCACCTTCCCAGAGACAGGGGCATGAGCCATGGAGGGAGTGGCTGCAGAATGGACAGGCTGCCACCTTCCTCTCTACCCCCACCCCCATAAAACCAAACCCTGTGCTGCAGCCACTCACTTGTTGTGGCAGGAGCTTGGATGTCTCGAGCTTTTTCATAAGGAGCTGCAAGGCCACCTTTTCCACCACGAGGACCAGAAGCTTCCCCTTCAGTTGGGACTGGTGACACTTGAGATCCTCATAGTTGTTCCTATGGCCAGAAGTGGTGGAGAATGGAAAGAATGAATAACAGAAAGGAACACTTTGGTGATCAATGCACTGACTATGACCCATAACCAGATGATCATGGCATGGGAAGGGGACCCCAGGAATGAAGAGTCACAGGTTTTAGTCCAGAGAGTGGACATGAACTTCCTGAGGCCACACATGAGTCACTGGCACAGCTGGGGCAAGAGCTTGGCTCTGCACCTGTCCAAACCTGTGCATCCAGCTCTTCATACTCACCTATACCCCACCCACCTCCCACCACATCACCCACACTGAGGACCCCCAGACCTGCCACCCATCTTCCCCCTCCTACCTGTTGTACTCCAAGTGCAGGTTGAGAGCATCTCGCTCTTTTATCAAGTCATGGTAGGACTGCAAATACAGAAAGGTGAAGTCAGGATTCAGGAGGGAGAAGACGTAGTTGGGGCACACTAACACCAACACCTATAGTAACCATTCGGCAGTAACATTTCCTCACCCTGAATCACTCTTGACATCTTTTTCAAGGCATTTCCATGCCCATGTTCTCAGTTGGTTTTAGTAAGGACTCAATAAGTGTGGAAGAGGAAGGGAAATAGATCTGATTGACAGAGGCCCAGGGATATCAGGTCATGTTGCCATTGTTATGATTATTATCACCATCATTTGATTCCATATTCAGTGCATCACCGAGCACCATGCTTAACAATCCATTGAATCCTCACAACCACCATAGGAGGGAGTTACTAGTATTATCTCCATTTTGTAGATGAAGTACAAATTATTAGAGGTTAAGTGCTAAGATCACTTACAGCTGGGATGTGAACATCCAGGTCTATCTAATTCTCTAAACCCATTTTTCCCCCTGGGGGTGGAGGTGCAAACATGAGTGCAGGTGGCTGGGCACACCCTCTCAGCCTCCTTCTGCCACACAGAAATAGCAATCAAATTCCACTGCAGCTCTTTTATCTGCTGCTCACATGAACACAGGCAGCTCGCCAGATGTTCACACTCCCCTGGAATGACAGAGGTCAAGATGGAACCCAAAGGACTCCCCCAAAGGTCTGCCAAGGCACCAGGTTGAGGGAGGACAGGTGCCCAGATTCGCACCTGCTTTCTGCCAGACTGCATGGTGAGCATCAGCCAGGGCTCCCTGTAACTGTGCCTTTTTGGACATTGAGACGTCAGTGGTCTGAATCTGAGCCTTTGGGAGAAAAGCCAAACAGGTGCTTAGAAAGAGGGAGAGGAAGGTTCTCTAGGGGACATGAGGGATGCCATACAGTCTGCTTACCCACTGTTGTTCCAGCAGGGAGCTCGCCTGCTGACACCTACTCTCCTGCTATAGGAAGAGGAAAGAAACATCTCCTACTGGGGAGGCAGAGATGCAACAGCAAGGGACAGGCCCCAGGAATGCCACCAATGGCCCAGGACAGGCCCACCATTAAGACCAGATTCTCAGGGACATTGTGGGGCTGAGGGTGGGCTGTAGGAGGTGAGCTTTGTCCAGGATGGTAGTGGGCAAGACAAGCCCATGGCCTCTCCATCTGAGTCCTTCCCCCAAACCATCAGCCATGGAATGAGTAAACAAAGAAATCACGTTCCTCTTTGCAGTTGATCCAGGCCTTCTTGGTGCCATTTTTTCTGTGTGGAGAGTCACAGGAAGGTGACTGAGGTTGTCACCCTTGGCTCCATTCCCCAGACCAGAGTGGTGGGCAGGGGACAGGAATGAATTTTCAAAGGAAAGTTCTCAGACCCTATGGAGATGCAAATTGACAAACTCTCCTCAAATTCCCAAGGAAAGAAAATTTGGGTCTTTGTTGGTTTTTGCTCACAGCTACAGAGCTGAATGTCTGAACTTGGATTCTCTTTAAAGGACAACCACACAAACCTCGAGAAATGGAGGCTGAGAAAGGAAAGAGTACCCTTCTTCCAGCTTGTGATTCACAAGGGTACATGTATTCGCCATGAACCACACACTATGGGACAGGGACTGTTCTTAATAGCAGGGATCCAGGAATGAAAAAGACAGGCAAGATCTCTGTCTCCCTGATGTTTCAAGTATGCCTAGAAATCTTTCATTGTTAAAGCTGAAAGTGATCTTTGACACCCTCTAATTCTATCTCAGTACACTCAAGCCCAGGCAGGAGAGGTGGCTTGTCCAAAACCAAAGACACAGTAAAGTAGGAACTAAGTCAGGGTGGAAACGTAGGGCTTCTGACAACAGCCTAGTGTTTCCAGCAGGGGGACAGACCAGGGCATGGGTAGTGACGATTCGAGCAGGGGTGTATGGAGAAGAGAAAGTGGACAGACAGGGCAGCAACAGAAAGAGCCAAGCTGCATGGTCTGGGGTCCCTCCCACTGAAACCTAGGCCCCCCAGCACCCCATTCTCCCTTGGCACCAAGGGCCTCCAGCCCCTTTCTGTAGAATCCCAAGGGGAAATTTGAGCCCAGGATTGGCAGCGTGGAATCAGGGGACCCCAATGGACTCTTACCAATTCCTGGATCATGCTCCTTCAATGTCATACCCATGGAGTAGAAAAGATGACAACTACATCAGACTTCTCTTTAGAAACCATGTAAGCAAGAGAAGAGTGTAGTGAAATATTTAAAGTGTTGACAAACAAACCCAGCCCAGAATTCTGTTTCCTGAAAAACTATCCTTCAAAAGTGAAGCCAAACATACATTTAAAAAACTAATACCAATTTTTCTCAAACTTTTTCAAAAAATGGAAGAGGAGGGAATACTTCCTAACTCATTCTGTGAGGCCACCATTACCCTGGTACAGATTGAAATGATTTGGGCAAGACTCAAGCTGTGAAGTTCAGTTGTCCAGGATTTGCTCCACAGAAGATAAACATATCTATCCCTCCAGAGAGCACTGACTGAAAGGTGCTCTGGTCCCAGAATCCTAGGGAATTCAAATGTGAGATACAGACTCAGAAATAAATTGTAAAGTGTCTCTAGAGAGTAGAAACTTTGGAGAAAACCAAGCCAAACCCATTCTCCCAATTGTCAGCCAGAGATATTGTCTACATTTTGAGCCCACTGCTGAAGTGTACTCTTTTCAGGTTGTCAATGTCTAAGTGAAGAGAGTGAGGGAAGTAGAAACCTCTCTCGGTCCTGGGTCTCCTAGTCCTGAGTACCGTCCCAAATGGAAATTTGTGCCACGACCAGAGAAGCTGGAAAGAGGGTGAAAACACTTAGAGGACTAGGTCATCAGGTCAAAGGCCTGGCTACAGGCAGTAATGACAGGGGGTGCCTGGTGAGGGCGGGGGCTGGGCTGTTAATAGGGCATAGATGGCTGAGAAGACTTTGGTGACGGGAGTCAAGAGGTACAGAGCAGCAGGCCCCATGTGCCTCAGAAGTGACAGACTCCTGCCCTTGTGCCACCGTCAGAGAGGCCTCAGGCCTGTGACCCAACATGCTATACCTTTTTCATGGCCACAGTCAATTTCCTCCGTTAGGTTTCCTCTGACACTTCAGGGCAGGGAAAAGGAAAGGGGGGTCGCATCACCATCTTTCAAGCACTGCAGAATTGCTTCCTTCAGTGAAGGGCGCAGATGTACAACTGAGCCAGAGCCTGTGAGAGCAGGTCATACTAGGCAACACTGAAGTGGGTGTGGCCTCAATGTTCACAGCCCATTGGTGGATGAGAAAGATGAAACTAATGGGGGTGTGGCCAGAACACAGGGAAGGGTGGAGTCACAATGAAAGCTGTGATAACTGGCCCTGCCCACCCAATGCTCACCACAATGACTAGGAAAAAGCCAGATAAACTATAAAAATCCTATTTTTGAAGGCATAACAGAGTTGTGGAAACAATAATTAGATGAACTTCAATTTCATAAAGAGAGAATTCTAGGGCAGGGTTTTTGCTAATTCTCAGTAGGGACTGATATCACATTTGGCCCACGTGGGGGACAGAGAAACCAGGGAAGTATTGATTGGTCACTCATGGCTGGTGCTGGCATGGGGATCACACAACTTGAGAAGCACCGACTGATGTCGTCTGGGGGCTCCCAGTAGTCGGTCTCAACCCACCCCATCCTCTTACCAGGTTCTTGACTCTGCCACAGGAAAGAATTCAAGAGTGGAGTTACAGAACAAAGTGAGAACAGGTTTAATGTAACAAAAAAGAGATACAGATTTGACAGAGAGAGAGAGAGAGAGAGAGAGTGGCCTAGCTCCAGACACTGCTGAGCAGGGCTCACAGCAAGTTTAACACAAAAGCAAGCAATACACACTTTAAGTTCAGTACCAGGTGCAGGCTGGCTCAAGAGAGTGAGCAGCCACTTGCTGAAGGTAAGTTTGATACAAAGAGAAAGAAACACACACTCCACAGGCAGAGTGCAGGCTGCCTCCAGGAGAGTGAACTCCAGCCCCGCCTTCTGCTGGCTGGAGGGAGGGAGGGGGGTTAGGGAGTGATAGGTCGCGTAAAGGGCATAAAGAAATATCACGATTTGTAAGAATGAATATGCTAATAATAAACAAAAAATTTAAATTAAAAAAAGTAACTCAGATGCTTACAAACCACAAGACCAGTAAAGAAAATGTATCTGTGGGCCAGATTTGGCCTACGGACCCCCAATTGGGAACCATCTGACCTCCAGATGCTCCTGATGTCAAAAGCAAAACCAATGCATAAAAAGGGTTTCTTTCAAGTTCGGCCTGCAGGTGAATTTTGACAGTTTCCTGACAGTGCTTCTCCACCCTTGGAAAACAGAGTTCACAGGAGCACTCCCCTGCCTCAGTCTAGTGCAAGGCACACCACCGCACGTATCAGGTGCCCGAGAGAGCAGGAAACAGACTGCATATGTGGAGTCACATGGGAAATGTTCAACAAGAGGTCTCGTAATTTTGGAGTGACTTGGGCAGAAAAGGATATAAAGAAAGACGGGTCGCAGTGCAAAGAAGAGAGAGCATCTGAGGGGGTCCTCTTTGGAGGGGGCTGAGAGTGAGCCTCTAACCTCATAGCAAGGAGGAGAGGAGGTGCCACCTTTTCCCTCGATCCTAGTTGGGAGAGGGGTTCTCCTTGGGTACCTGACGTTTGTTCTTCCACTGGGAGCTGCCGAGGACTGGTGCTTGGTTCGTGTGTGGACAGCTAAGCCGCCTGCTGGATTCGCCAGTGTGCGATTGGCCTTTTCTCCCAACTGCGCAGGCAGAGGGATGCGTGTTTCCTGCCAGACACATGTAGGCTCTGTGCCCATAGTCATTCTCCAAAACAGGGGGACCAATGAGCACTTGCTCTCCAGGGATGTCATGTGACTTTATCAGCTGGTGTTTATAAAAGTGTAAAGTGCAGTGTAAGTACTGAATGGCGTTGTTCTTCCACAGGGCTTTCAGGGACAAGATAAAAGATAGGCGTTCCCTCTCTCCCTCTCTGCCTTCCAGGCCCTTTCCCAGCCCCTTCTCCTTTTGTCTGTCCCATCTAGGAGCTATAAGGTATCTGTCCTGAGATCCTGAGATGGCCTTTCCCATTAAGCCCCATTTTTATTCAATTTCAATGAAAAGAACACACTTTAGGTCTGAATCCCCTGCAAGCTGTGGGAGTGTCCAGTTAAACCCTGCACAGTGTAGCAGTGATCTTATTATCTAGAGGTGGTTTCATTTAAAGAAATGCTTCATTCACTGGAGGCATCGGGAGGACTGGAGTGAGGGATGTGATGTGCCTTCATTGTGGGGATCTTAGTACCTGAAACAAGTGAATTGTGTTTCTCTGCTGGACCCTGCCTTTCCTTTCCCCAGCTGGTCACTCCCAATTCTGAATCTACAAGATCTCCAAAACCCAATGCAAGTCAAACAATAGAGCCCTCAATTTAGCAACTGTACCTCTGGATTCAGGGAGCTAAGCCAACATCCAAACCCTCCCTGATTTTTCACAGCACTTACCGCTTGTGTCATGGGTTTGGCACTTGATTATATTCAATTTAGCACATAATTATATCCCCTTTTCTTTTATTGCTTGTAAGTGTGAGCATCTTTTTTTCCACTTTTTTTTTTAATCCCAATAATACAGGAATTCCCTGGAAAGCAGAGACCATTTTTCACCCTTCCCCAAAGATCCACAAGCTATGCACAGTGTTAGGCCCAAAGCAAACATGCCATAAACACACACCGAGCCGAACGGAGAGGAATGAGCCATCTGATTCACCTTCCAGTTGGCCATGCATTCAGCTTCCGCTGTCTCTTTCTCTGCTGGAAAGTCATGAGCTTCTTCACTGGGCTTCTGATGGGAAAGGCGTGATATTCCTGAGGCTCTGCGTGGGCATGTCCTAGGGGAGTGCCTACTAAAGGGAAGTGAGGATTGGGATGGATAGTGACCATGACTCATTGTCAAGTCTATGCGGGAGCTTGGGTGGCTATAATCTCACATGGAAAGCATTTCCACTCCATCCTGCTCCTTCCCACGCTTAACCTTCCTGGGCCACAGTGTTGCCATAAACATCTGTAGTGTGGACCTTGGACCATCAGCATCAGCATCCCCAGAGGGTCCATTAGAAAGGCAGAATGTTGGGCCGCTTCTCAGACTTAATGAATTAGGAACTTTTAAACAAGATTCCCAGGTGAGTCATATGCATGGTAAAGTTTAAGAAGCCCTGCTCTAAAGAATACGTTGTCAGGCATCCTCTCTGAGGAAAAAGTCTGGTCCTCTGAGCTAAAGCTGCAGATAATCCAGAATAATATGGGGAGCTGTCCTGAGCTCTAAAGGATGCTTTCTTCCTCAGGAGGAGGAGAAACTCCACAAATCAACAGTAGCACAAGTCATGTCCAACCACACAGATAGGCACAGAGCTCAAATGAAATTAAGGGGAGCCAAAGGCAAGCAGGCTGCTGTTAGTGGGCATTGTACTAAGCAGTGAATATGGCCCCCTGTGTCCTGCTCTGTCGTTCTATCTATTGCCACGCATGCTCCAGAACTTCCTGCCCTTAGCACAGTGCTGGTCCAACATGCTGGAATGGGCCTGCAGCATGCTTGAGGGTGTATTCTAGTAAAAGTCCAAACCTTTGCCAGTCCTCAAGGCACACACAGCAGCTAACTCCCTGGCAAGTGTGTAGAAGTCACTATGGTGGTTCCAGTTTCCTGGCATGAACTCCAACCCTCAGGATTGGTCCTGAAGCTACAGCCATCTGCTACTGTGCAGAGTTCGTTCTTCCCTCCCTTCTATCTAGGCACACTCTGTACAAGCTTCAGAGCCCAATTCAAATGCTGCTTCCTCCAAAGCAGCTCCCTGCTCACTTCAAACTACACTGGGAACATCCTCCAATATTCTGGTATTTAACAATTTCATTGAGACTTTTTCCTCAACAAGGCTGTCAATTCTTGGAATGGAGGAGACTAGTATCTTCTAGTATGATCTGTACCTAGTCCACTCCCTCAAATAATACACAGACTTATAAATCATTCAGTATGTGAGTAAAGGTCCTCAAACACTCAGTGTGAGCTGGCATGACCATCCAGCAAATCCTCTTCCAGAAAGGACCCTGGAGTAACCCATTAGCCTAGGGATCCTCCTCTGGCTTCCTAAATGCCCAGCACCTTCCATACCTGCACTGTCCCAGCGTGGCTCTGGA